CGGCGAGGGGCAGTAGGGGGCGCCGGGGACGACCATAACGAGGGGCGGTCACAGGCGGAGCTGGTGGTGGAGGTAGCGGGGGCAGGGGCGCGGACAGCGGGGCAGTGTGTGGCCGGGAAGAGGGCTCGCGGACAAAAAGGCAATGCGAGCGTCGCGGGGATGCAGAAGTAGCGCGGCATAAGTTAAAGCAAGTTTACTTACCTCAAGGTCAGAGGTCGTCGCGACAGCCGTTGAAGTTGAAGGCTGAGCAGTTACATCTACTGACGTGCGTCGAGCTCCATATTGATTATCCTGTCGATGTAAAATTATTTTAGTTGAGATTGCGAACCAACAAAACTGAAATAACCTTGCTTGAAAACAGACAATTGCTCAAGAAACGAACCAGTTGGGCACGAAAACAAAAACTTACCGGGGGGCTAGTTGCAGACTCTGGAGTACTGGTGGAAGTTGAGGGAACGTCCACAAACGGTGCCGTCACATCACATGCTGCCCCTGCCCTCCGATTTAACTGTAAAATCAATGTTCACAAAATTAATCCTCACATCTGAATTTCCTGTCCTCTCTTTATGCAATGTCTAGTCAGCCCGCACAAACTCGACCACGAAAGGGGGAGGGGGGGGGGGCACCCAGAAAACACAAATCACGAATACCCGAACCCGATACACGCGTCGCTGTAACAATGTCAATTTCCTTCTAGACATGTACTCGGTGCCCGTGTGTTGGTCAGACGTTTCGGACGCACTCGAGGTAGCCACAACGCCGAGCCGAGGGCCGGGGCCAGCCCGCCGGCTCCTGTAGAGATTCGGGAGGATGGGCATTTACTTGTCAACTAATTTTAGCGTATGGCACGAACAACGTTACCGCACACAAGGGCCCTGTCCACACTGCCGTGCTGTGACTGGACTTGTGAGAGTGTATGGGACAAATGACAGAGTTCTGCTGGTCGCCTAAACCGAGAATTTAGATACTACCCGTAGGACACTACAAATGATTCAGAATTTGCAAAAAGACTTGCACATAGCTCACCAATGCGGTTGTTTGTTGTTTGCTAAACGGGCAGGCGGCACTGACCTTCCTCACACGACTTCACTAGCGAGACTGGGCGGCCGACTGCCGGCCGGCTGCTGGACGCCACACCACGCCACGCCACGCCTCGCCTGTCCACTCGACACGGCGGCGGCTCGTCGCTACTCTCGTCTATTCTAACCCCGTGTTATCAGTACTCCGTTATTACTTACCGAATTTTGCTCCTCAATCAGCTTCCGAAGCAAGGCGTGGTCACCCAGGTATGGGGACAGGCTCCCGAGGTCCTGCTCCTTCAGTGCCAGGAGAGCGGCCTTGCTGATCCTCTGCTCTGTAATACCACAGTACGAGTGAAATTCGGAACAAAATTTCTAATACAGAACGGGAGGTCGCAGTCACGGGTCACTTACTATTGAAGACGTCGCTAAGATGGCTGAGGTCGTACGCCGCCAAGAGGGCAGCTATTTCGTCACACATTTCACTCGAACACAATACAACAGTCTGAACGACAACGCAGCGACGCACACCACGCACACACAGAGGCGACAGGTGGACAGACGATGCGGACCGCCGCGAGAGCAGCTCTGCTGACCTCGGGTCACGTTCGGGTGGTTTGGCGCGAAACATTCGTGCTTCGTTCGAGGGGGGTTCGGGATGCGTTCAAGCCCCACGTTCGCGGCGCAATCAGCCGGCCGCCGAGTTCGAGTCGCACTCAAAACAAGTGCAACGCTCAAGTGCCTCACTTCAAGTCCGGCGAGGAACTTGAAACAAGAACTCGCTTTTCTGGGTGCTGTACCCTTGCCAGCGCCGGTCTTCCACCTCACGGTGGCGGCGAGGGAGCTTCTGTGCTCGGTGGCATACCGCCCGAACAGGGGCGACCCGCCCGAATCCATCGGAAGGCTTCGCCCTGGGGGC